AACGGCTCTTTGGGTTGTGAAGCCTGCAGTTTTGTCTTTTCTCTCCTCCATCAGATGGTTTCAACTCGGACACATTTGTTCTCTCTCACCTTTCTGCTGCTCCGGCCAAACCGCTGCCTCTTGGCTCTGCAGCTCCTCAGGCAGGATGTCATGTTATTGTTTTCACCAAATTGCTGATCTGTTTCTACGGGCAGAGCAGCCCAGAGGCTGGAACCTTCAGAGCAAGTTAAATCTGATGGGCTGAAACTGAAGTAAATGTAATTTCCACCCAAAAAAAGTTTTTAAAGCTGCTTTCTTCTCATCTCACTGCATGTGAGACTAACCATCATTTGACAGGCCGCTGTCAGAGGGATGTGGAGTACAAAGAAGATCTTTAGCCTTGGTGGTGCTGCAGTTAATTAGTGCCTGCAGACTTTTATCTGCTCTGAGAGAGACATCAGCCACTGAGGCATCAGAGAGCTCCTGTGACCTTTGGGTTTAGGGACGGTAAGGGACTCAGGAAGCTTGGTGCACATGTTTCACTCTGCCTTTCATTTTCACGGAGAAACCATCAGGATGTCTGAGGGACGGGGAGATCAACTGTGTCTGCAGGAGGAGTATGGAGAAAATTATGTTCCATTATTGTTGCATCGAAATGCGTATTTTTTAAAAATTGAAATTTGAAAAAATGCAATCATTTCAAAAACATTTTATTGGAAAAGGGGTTTTGAGAAAAAACGTCAGTTTTCTAAGATTTTGTTCATTCAAAAAAAAAAAAAAAAAAATGTTCTTCCAGATTTTGTTTCAACTTTCTTCAAATGTCTATTTTTTTAGGATGAGTTTGAAACACTGTGCTTTTCAAATTACATTTTATTTACTTTCCATTGGAGTGAGGAGTAAAGACGCGTTTCTATTGGCCCACCAGACGTTAGCAAGGAGACTTTCCATTTGGATTGGACTTGAAATTAAAGTTGTAGGGAAGCGGCTGTTCCTATGGTTGAATTCCAGAATTCCATCGAGAGGTGCCTGACTTTACACGAGTGAATAAAGTGAATGTGATTGGTTGATTATCAAGGGGGCGGGATTGTTGTGGCGGAAGGTTCACAAGCTCTTTGATTGTGGCCGTTTTGTCAGAAGCATCTTCCTAACCAGTTAGCATCTTAGTGCTAGTAGCTTCCCAATGGGAAATTCCATTGGGACCAAGTAGCACTAAATTGGTGACTTAGAAACGACACTGTCAAGGAACGCTATGGACAGAGGAAACATGCAAGAGGAGGAGAGTTTAGTGTCGGAGGTCGTGGATGAGTCTCCTCCGTCATCCATTTTTTATTTAGAGGAGGAAAGCGGGACGAAGATGTTGTGGAAGAGGACGCCAGGGCGGCAGAAGCTTGGTTTGGTGTAGAAGGCTTCCAGCCGTACATGTTTGAGCCCTTGCCTCGCAACGCTGCCAGTTCTGTTAGCTCTACGCCTGCTGAAGACACAGACGTCCATCCCCGTGAACACTGGGACGGAACTCAATGGGAAAGGAAAGGATTCTGATTTCCTATTTCAGCCGTTGCGTTAATTAGCTGCGACACATGAATCAAGATGCTATGACTGAAAACATTTGATTGACAGATGACCGTTGACATATGATTGGCCGAATTTAGGTGTTCAGGCTGACGTAGAACTAACTAAGATAACGAAATAAAAACCCAGATTTTTTTAAATAGACATTTTCTAAATTTTGGGACAATATCGTCTGTTAAAGAGTACATTTATATACATTTTTAAGTTAGAATGGTTTGCCATTTAAATAGGACTTCCCTACAACTTTAAGAGAATGTGATCTGAAAAACACAATTTGAAAAGAATGCAGTTTATTATACTCAATCGGAAGAATATATTTAAAAACTTTTCTGGAAAAAATCAAAACCGTGAAGATTTTACAAAGTTTCAACTCTGGATTGATTTTTTTAAATTTAAATTTCCATTTACAAAACATTTTTTTGCTGCAATAATGATGGAACAAAAATTACTCCATAATTATGAAGAGGTTGATTTACTGCTTTTTATGATTATAGGCCAACTATTAGCCATGCACTGCACAAATGTGGCCTTTATGGAAGACGAGGAAAAGAAGTCCAGTGTGAGGAGAGCCATGTGGGGGTCAGAGGAAGCTAAAATTGATCTACTTTTTTTTTTGCACCAACATGTAAAACACAGAGGCCAAAAACTAAATGAAAAACCCAGAAGAGTGAGGAGGAGACAGCTGCAGAAGCCTTGAATGAGAGACTTTTGGATGAGGATCAGCTTCCTGCAGGACAATAAACATAAACATAGGGCAAGAAAACTACTGAGACAAATTTTTGGTTAAAATATATTGGAAGGAGTGGCCTAGTTAAAGTTCTTAGGTAAATCAGAATAAAAACTCATCTCCATCGCTTAAACCTCTTTACAGAATGAAATATTTCAGTCTCTGTAGGCCTGTCACTGTAACCAGGCAGATCCTCCAATTACTCCCTGAAGGACTGGAGACAACAGCACGCCACACTTTTCAGATTTTTACTTTGAAAGACGCAACACTTTGTTTGCATCTTTAAAAAGGACATCAGCAGCCGAGCAAACGGCTCTGAATGATTGAGCAGCTGGAGCCGCTTTGTAGGCTTTAAAACAACATATGGCTCCACTTCAAAACGTGACGTTTTGGATCAGGCCGCAGAAATTATTGCAGCGTGTCGGATTATGTGTTTAGTAGATAGAATCACATTTAAAATAATCTATATAATCTGTGCAAATATTTCTGGATTTTTGGTAGTTTCAGTTAGTGTTGCACCGATGCCATTCTTTAGCCCCGATACTGATACCCGATAACTGGCTGTGCAGTATCAGCTGATAATGATACCATCTGTTTGAAATTGATGTGTGTGTATATATGAAGGACTGCATACTACTGGGATGTAAAATAATTGCCATCATTTCTTTGTCAAGCTGCAGCCTACCTTTGTGAAGCAGGAAAAAGACTTAAGCCGGAAGTACACTGTGCAATTTTCCAGAAAATGTTCCAAACATGTTTGATTTTCTCCCGACCGTCATGGGCAAACCGCTCAGGGCGCAAAAAAGAATTTTCCTTTTTATTCTTCCTCTCAGATGTAAACACAGCAGCATGGCAGGGATGCAATGAGTGAAATGGAGTTCTATCTGTAAAACTCACACTTGCTCAGCCATGTCTTTTTTTCCAAATATGTCGTCTGCTTTTCTTTTTAGGGCTTTCAGCACAAAATTGCACAAATTGCCAAGGCAGCACATTTCTCTCTAGTGAGCTTCATATTCCTCTTCTATTTGTTTGGTTTCTGGATAGACGAGTCAGACCAGCTCCATCACACCGCGGAGCTGAGTCCGATGTGCTTTTTAGTCGTACAGTGTGAGCAGGTAGATCGCTTCAGAGCGTCTGGCCGAACATAAATCCTGAGTTGTGAGCTCACACTGTACGACTAAACCCTGCGGTTAGTCGTACAGTGTGAGCTGTAGCTACGTGCAACGATTGAAAAAAATTCAAGTGTACGCCCGGCTTAATACAAAGTGAATCCAGTAGAACTTTTTATTTCCTACCTGGAATGGGTGACAATAGTTGAAGAAACTTTTGGCTCTCAAAATGGTATCGGTGCCCTATTTGTTGGTACTCGCCGATACTGATACCACCATTTTAGTGCTGGATCGGGGCCCCGCCCCATACTGGTTTCTGTATATCGGTGCAACACTAGTTTCAATAGGAAAGTTTAAATATGACGGACTTTTATATTTCTACAAGAAAGCGTTAAAATCTCACCAGGAGTTAATTAAGGTTCCTCTTTTTCTAGGACTAAAATTAATCATGAGATTAATCGCTAATAGAAAGAATCAACTAATTTGGTCGGTGAATCATAACTTAAAGCTGCGGTTCCTAAATGATTCAACCATCAACCCCCCAAAAAACGATGCAACAGACCAGAGGCAAACACTAAAAATACAAATAATTACTGTAAAAAATAAATGAATGGATACTTTTATATGATTAGCTTAATTTTCCATCAAAAAAATTCAAACTTAAAATACCACAAAATACATAAAAATGTTCTGTTTATATCAGAATATATGGTTAAAAGATAAAAGGCAGAAATAAAAGGAACCTGAGAATAAATAGGATTAAAAACAGTCCATTAATTGAAGCGAAAATAACTCAAGTGTAACAAGAAATGCACCGTTATAAAACAAACTATAATTATAAAAAACAAAAACATCTTGAAATAAGTAAATGTTTGGAAAGGAAACCAACAAAAATATCATATCCTGAAATAAAGCGTACATTAAAAAAAACTTGAAGTAGATAAATAACTTTAAGAAGCTGATTGTTCTATTATGCATTTTGTGGTATTTCATGGGTACATTTCTTTTCTTTAGAAGTGTTAATTTACGAAAATATTATTTGGAATCAATCAAATACTAAAATAATGAATAACTGAAATAATTTCATTATCAGCAGATTAAAATATATTTTTAGTTTGATAAAAATCATTGAACTGCAGGCAGCTGAGCTCAGCTTTCTGTGTTTTGGCGCCCTCTTGTGGTTTTGCATTCTATATGATAATCATTTGGTTTTTTTAAAACACCTTTTGGTATAATTTTTTTTGTTTTTGTTTTCTTATTTCAGTGATAAAAAATAACACCAGTAAACATTTGTGATTTTTTTTTGTGTGTTTATTTTTTCTTCCATGTTTTTTCTTTATAAAATGACGAGGACCGAGTGTTTTAGAAGCCCCACCCTCTCATAATGTTCCCCCAGCCGGCTAACTCGACTCTAAAGCAACCAGCAAAGAAAAATAGTCTTATGAACAATGGATATAATATACACCCCATATACAGCAATACATAGTGGTCTACCTAAGGTCAGGGATCACACCCGGCCTCCAGGAGGCCTCCGTTCAGATTGTTGAGTCTGATATGGTTCAACAGCAACTGATAACCGCTGCAGATTGTTTTGCTCTTTAGGGCGGGGATCAGGTTGCCATGGCGAGGAGACGGGGTCAGCAGCCGCTGCCTTTGCTTTAGGAACCGTTGGCTAATATTCAGCAGCTGACCCCGCCTCTCCAAACCAATCAGATTCAGTATAAGTGCAAAGTTTAAGGAGGCACTGACGCACTCGGCGGCGTAAACCTTCCTGACAGCTCATCTTCGTTTCCATCCAGGTCTGCACACAGGAAATGGGAGCTTTTCATTGGTTAGCAGGAACCAATCAGCTGCTTGGATTCCCACAGAGTTTAACATCCAGAGAAAGTTTGGGTTCTTTCTATGAATTTAACTTCTATGTTTGTTGCATATTTCGTCTCAGTAACAGGCAGAGATAAACCCCCGCAGCGGTGGGCGGCGCGTAGAAACGTGTGAAATACAGACGGAGCGCGGCGTGGGCGGTGGCTACAGACACGACTCCCAGTGCAGCTGCAGGTCTGAGCTGTCCAGGAAGTCGGCCGAGAACACGCTGGGCGGGGTGTGGGGCGCCAGCGGGGTCAAGCTCGTCCCTCCGTCTCTTTCGCACCCCGCTCCGCCTCCCCGCCCTCCGCCATTTTCCACGCTCCCTCCACCTGCGGTTCCCATGGAGATATCCAGCCAGTCCATGCTGTCCAGGGTGGGGTCACCAAAGTCTAGCCCTGTGGTGTGAGGGGAGAAGCCCAGGTCGGACGTGTCCATGGGGGAGGGGGGGTGGTCCAGGATGCTAGGCGTGCTTAGCATCTGGCTATGCAGGTCGTCGATCAGCGTCAGGCCGCCGTCGGGCTCCATGCCCAGCAGCGGTGTCCCTGTGGTGCTCTCCAGGAAGTCCTCCAGGCGCCCTCCGCCGCCGCAGGGCTCCGTGGGGGGCGGCGGCGACAGGTGGAGCGGGGATGCAGGAACCGACGGGGAAGGCGGGTCGGAGTGGAGCGGCGCCAAGGAGGGGTCCGGGTTGGCCTTGAAGCCTGGGATCTCTGCAGGCGGACAGAGACAGAAACGGTCACCACAAAGCGGCGGACGGCGTCCGCAGCGGCGTCTTCAAGGCTCAGACTCTTACCTCCGCTCTTCAGCAGGATGTCAAACAGGTCGTCCATCTGCTGACTGTTCACCCCGTTCTCCTGCAACAGACCAGCCGCCGTTAGACGCCAAACAATCACCTTTTTAACCACGAATAACCAGGGAATTTGGTCACATTATTTTTCATCTAACCACCCCTAGAGGTGGAGAGAGTAAAAAACGCAAACTCAAAACTGAATGAAATTTGAAAAAAACGTTAAATGATTGAAAATTAAAAAAAAAAAATCAGAGAAAACACCATTTACCACTTTAAACCTATTTTGTTATCAAAGTTTTATTTCTGTTTTTTTCACATTTTATTTTCCAAACTGTTGTTTATTTAAACAATAATGGAACAGAAGTCACTCCATACTTCCCCTGATAAGTCAGATGATCCAAAGGAATGAAATGTTATTGTTAAAAACCATCATGCGGCTCCAGAGGAGTGAAAACAAACAAATCAAACCTTTCAAAACTATAATGTGTTGCAGTTAGAAGCTTGACGTTTTAAAACCCAGTTAATGAACCAAACCACATGCATGATGCTGGACTGCACACTGGTGCAAACAAGGTCCCCATCTGGAGCCAAAATAAAAAGCTGTTCAGAACACGTGCATGAAAATAAACAAGTTTATAAAAAATATAAAACAAACTAACGAGCAGGGTTTTAGTGTTTGCTCCTAATTTACCAAAAGCTCAGCATCCAATTAGCAGAATCCCATCCAGTTTGGATGTCAATGTTTTCTGAAATGTTTGCATATCTTTTGTTGTTAACAGAATTTATAAACGTAGCGTCTGTTTATGATACGAGTCACTTCAGATCTAAAATTACAGGAAGAGGCAGAACGCCGTTCTCCTTTTCTCATAACCAGCAGACCAGTTGCAGGTTTGTTTTCTAACTGCAGATATTTTTTAACATTTAAAAAGTCGCTGAGGGAAGCAACAAAGCAGAAGTAAATCCAGAAAAGAGGAAAGCAGTGAGCAGATTAGCTGTGGGTTGGCATTATGGGCGCTTATTATGTTACTAGGAGAGGATGTAGCAACAGCTCGACCACAGTGTGACCTGCTGCGTTAGGAACCCACACAACAGCGTGCAGAGGAGGAACGTTTTCACCCTCTGAGGTCAGAAACCAAGCAAACGGAGAAAAGATGCAAGAAAGGTGGAGAGAAAGGACGTACTTTAGAGCGCTGAGGAGGGAGGGAGGTGTTGGGTTTAGGGGAGGGAGGGGTGAACAGTGTGTGTCGGTCATAAGGTGGACACACCTCCTCTTTCTGCTGGGGGGGGGGAATTTGGGGGGAGGGGGTGAAGAAAAGAAGAAACAGGAAAAAAAAAAACTTTACACCGATTGAAGAGAGCCGCAAAGACTGATGGGTGAAGGGGGAGAGGGACGCGTACCTTCAGGGAGGACATCAGGTTGCTTTGGCTTTCAGTGTCTGTCATGTCCTCGAAGAACGGCTGCAGGCTGGGGGGGGCCGTGTGGGCCACGCTCGGCTCTGGGGTCCCGTTGGTGTCTAAGTGCAAACCTGCCTTCTGTCCCTGAAGGAGAAGAGTAAAAATACACTTTAGATGAAGCACGCATCGCTTGAAGATTCCCACAGCATCCCCGTTTCCATGGAAACACTGCACTTATGGAACAGTCCAAAAAATATCAATTTCTAAAAAAAAATAATAATATACAGATTCATCACAGAGCATTTCTGTTGGTTCTGATAATTATAGCTTCATTTCATTTCATAGACATCAGTTCACAAGCTTATTGATGGGAAAACTGAGTGGAAGGAAGAAATAAACCGACGTCAACAAAACTGGCATCATCGTCCACCAGGGGGCATCAGAGTTCATCCTTAATCAGAGATTCATTTATATTATTTGCTGTAAAAGTAAAGCCAGAGTGGATAAATTCTGGAGCAGAACCATGAGTCCGGTCCGGATTATTTTTACTGTTAACGGATCCAGAATAACCTTCCTGTGGTTCTGTTAGTGAACCTAAACTCTGGATAAACTCCTTCAGTTCTTCTAAATGGGTCCATTTAGCGGCGCTGCATGGAAGAGCAGCAGAACTTCTATGCTGGATCAGAAGGAGAGGATGATAGAAAAGTCAAGGACATTACGCTAAACGATTGGAACAGGATAGAAGAAGACGTGCTAGCAGCTAATACAGTAGATGGAGAAGCTATAAGAGGTAATGAGCCTCATGGATCCAAGCTCTAACATTCCTCTGAGAGGAACCAGAACCACCTGATTAAAAGCTCTGCTAACAGAACAGAGGCCGTTTCTCAAATCACAAAAACGCGAGTACGGACTTGTGTTCTCGCCAAGTCTGTTCTAGAGAAGAACACAGGAAAGTCTGGTTTGGGCAGAATGGGAGCTCAATAGTACCAGAAGTGTACTGATGACGTCGCCACATGCTCAGCTAGTCTAGAGAAGCATTTCACCGCCTGTTATTAATAGTCTCTAGATAATAATAAATGATGACTGTTTTTCATTTAGTGGGGGAATAATAATGATCACAGTCAGATAAACACAAATAAAATGAACGTTTTGCCAAATAAAACAAAAAACTTTCCATCAGAGCCAGCAGTACTTCACACACGGCTATGCAGAGAGAGGGCTGCTGCAGACGGGCTAACGTTAGCCCTGGCTGTGGTTAGCCTCAAAGGGTTGCAAATTGGTTTTAAATTACGCATTAAATGAGTAAATGGACCATATAGTGACGCTTAAACTAGAATATTCTCGCCTCAAATGATCTTAAAATGTACTTTTATTGAACAACAGCAACAGAAAAGTGAACTTTTAACTTAATACTCTGAGCTCTGTCAGCGCTAACCTGGAAGCTGCTGCTGCCGCAGTGCATGCTGGGACAGCTGTCAATATGGAGAACGAACAAGTCTGCTCTGATGGGTAAAGAGGGAGGGGCGAAAACAACATCTGGGGACTTTGTCCGTTCTCTGTCTTCTTGTTCTTGTGAATTGGAACAGCACTAGGGCTGAGGCTGATGACGTTTCACGAGGACACGAGAACGCACAAGTACATATATTGAGAAACGGCCAAAGTCTTGGCCTGAACTGATTGATGGTGCTAGATCACAGTTAGGGTCCGCTTCATTAAAACAAGTGTTCAAAGTCTGACAGTATGTCAGAGTGACATTTTCTCTCTATTAATGATAGATCTACATCTCTGTTCAAATCAGACGTCCCTATTTAATTAATCTTTTTTCATTCGGTTACCTACAAAAATATTTAGCCCTTTGTGAAAAGAAAATATGTTAATAAAAGGGTAAGTTCAGGTTTTTAGCAAAATGGCTACTTATCAATCAATCAATTATCAGTTGACCAATGAGATCAATCATCTTTAGATTAATTCATTAATCGATAACCTGCACCCCTGGTAGCTATAGGGCAGTCACATTCCACACATTTGGTCTGAAATAGAGCAATCAGTCATCCAAAGACCTGTTTTTTTTTGTTTGTTTTTTTAGATAAAAGCGTATTTAGCTTTTGATTTGTAATTGTTGCTCCTAATTCATATTATTTGAAGTTCCCACAGTCAGGTACAGGGAAGCTGTCTCATCTCTCAGCAGCGTTTCATTAAGGTTAAAAACAGCCGTCTGCCAGGAAACATCAGAGCACAGAAACATTTCTGGGCATAAATGAGCCATAATTATCAAAATCAACAGAATGAATGTAAATAAATGTTAACATGAGCTTCAATTGTTGATTAAAATTAACTTTTTCATCTTTCAAGTTGATGCCAAATGTGTCACTGCTGGTTAATTCTACCAGCAGTGACACCTTGTGGACAGATTGAGGCACTGCATGGACATTTAGTAGAAAAAGCAGAAGCAGAAGTTGTTGTGGGACCTTTTTGTCCGGTTGGCCCGCGGGCTCGGCTGCCGGCTGCTCTTTTGATTGGCCGTCGGTGCCGGGGAGTTTACTGGGGCTCGACTGTAGCCTCTGTAAGAGGAAAGCAGCGCGTCAGATGGAGACTTTTGAGATTTCATAGAGAGGATCCTGCAGCTCCCTGCTGCTACCTGCAGAGTGATGCGTCCATTGACTTTGGCCAATGAGGACACCCCGTTCTGTCTGGTCAGAGCGATCAGGTAGTGGTTGCCGTTGCTATCGGTGACCAGCGTCGGCATGCCGTTGGCCTTAAGGTCTAGTGCGATGGCTTGGGTTTGGAGCGGGGAGCCGTTTTGTTGGTTGATGATGACTGGAGTCACCTTTGGGAAGAAAAGACATTTATTTGACATTTTTTGTCAGCCCTGCGGCGGCGGACCATCATGGCGTCCCTGAAAGCCTTACCTGTCGTGTGGTTGCTGCGGCCGCCTGTTGCTTCTGCTGCAGCCTTTGCTGAGCCCTCAGCTGCTTCCTCTGCTGGCTCACTGCGGCCTTCTGGCCCGTTAGCGTCTGGTTCTGAATCTGGACCTGGATCTTCTTCAGCTGAACATGGCTCTTCTGCAGAGTCTGAACCTCCTGTTGGGTTTGTTTGACTTGGTTCTGCTGGGCCTGCAGCTGCTTCTGTTGGGTCTGCTGTATGATGAGCTGCTGCAGATGCTGCTGCTGCCGGAGGAGCAGCTGAGCCTCTTTCTTCTGCTGGTTGACCTTAAGCTCCGAGTCTTTCTGCAGCTGCTGTTTGGACTGAAGCAGCTGCTGCTTCTGCTGCTCCGCCTGCTGGATTTGGAGCCGATGGATCTGCTGCAGCCTCAGCAGCGTCTCCTGTGAGCACTGCGTCGGCGGCGGCGGCCTCTTGGCCTGTTCCTCCTCCGTCACCCCTTCCATCTCTTTCTCCGGCTCCGCCTCCTCCTTCACAGTCGGAGCGACTCCGTTGGGAAGCGTCGGCGGCTGACTGGACGAGGCTTTAATCAGAGATTGGAGCGCCGCCTCCGGGGGTGTCCTGTTCTTCTCGTTTCCTTCCTTCTTCACCGCCACCCCGCCTGCCATCTTGCCCTGCTCCAGCTGTGACCTCAGGGTCTCCACCAGCCTCTGCTTCTGGCGCAGCATTCTGGTGAGCTCCTCGATCTGCTTGTCCTTCTCCTGCAGCATCTGGTCTTTGTCTACGGATGAGGCGTCCACGGCTGCTGCAGGCAGAGACTCTTTGGGTTGCAGTGAGGCCGGCGAGGACTTGGAGTGGCTGCAGGAGCTCTGGCTCTCCTCTTTGACAGCAGAGAAAGGCTGTGGGAGTGGGTGCTGAGGAGAGTGGTGGAGGGTGAGCTGGGTGAGAGGAGAGGTCACCTAGAGGATGGAGGGAGAAAAAAAGGAGCTTCAGAGATGAAAGACTAATGGATTAAAAAACATGACTTTAGCTTTTAGCTAACAAAAGTTGGACGGACCAAAACGGCATCATCTATTAATGGTACATATAGCCTACTAATAGTACAGGGTGCCTTTGCTCTATAGAAAAAGATGCAACTTTCTAGATGCTCACTTTAGATTTTGCTTGCTGTTCCAGGTGCAAAAGTTAAAATCAATATAAAGCTTTATGCTGATGACATACGTCTTTCACACAAAACAGATGCTGTCGCTACAAGCATGCTTGGTGCGAGGGATTGCTGAAGGGTAAGAGTCAATGCAATCAGCTGGTTTTCCTTAGATAGTAAACTTCATCTGACTGGATGATCTGGTTGAATTGTAAAGTGACCTGAGATGACATCTGTCGTGAAATGACGCTATAGAAATAGATTAAACTGAATTCGGCACATTTTGCCATTTATTGGACCATGAAAAACCAGAGGTGGAAAGAGTACTAAAAAATTGTAATTGAGTAAAAGTATCTTTACTTTGCCTAAATTTTACTCGGAGTAAAAGTAAAATTAACCATCTCAAAATTTACTCAAGTAAAAGTAAAAAAATACTTCATCTAAAATGTAATTTGAGTAAAAGTTACTTAGTTACTTTGAGTCATTTAATGCAAAAAAGGATGAGTCATAAATCAAATTGAGCACAAGGTGTTTTAATCGATTTCAAGGCGTATTTCAGTGACATCCACACTGCTAAAGATCAGCTGGGCTAAAGAACATACTTCCTCACAGCACAAGGACAGTCACAACCTG